CTTTCAATTCTCCATGTAAAAAAGTGTTCTTTACGTCAAATTGATTTAACTCCCATCTGAAGTGGGTTGTCAAAGAAAGCATAATTTTGACTGTGTTCATCTCTGCCACTGGAGCAAAAGTCTCCTCATAATCAACCCTATACGTCTGAGTATATCTTTTAGCAACAAGCCTTGTCTTGTATCATCCAATGGAGCCCTTAGATCTATATTTTACAATATATATGTATTTGCATCCTACTATCTTTTTGTTTTTGGGCCTTCCAACAATCTATCAAGTCTCATTTTTCTCCAAAGCATGCATCTCTTCATTCATGGCTTGAACCTAGTTATTGTCTTTTAACGCTTCATGTACTGATGTGGGGATCTGGATAGATTAATCAGCTGAAAGAAAACTCAAGTGCTGCATGGAAAAGGGTTTAGTAGAGACAATGAGAAATAGCGTACATGGCACAAGACCTTTTTTCTTTTCTTAAGGTAATGAGTAAATAATTAGAATTACCTATACTTTTCTTCGGTTTAGACGGTTGACTTGCTGTAGGACCAGGTTGGGTTTCCTTTGTCTTTGGTAAACCAATATAGGAGCAGATGTTGGTTTTTCAATAGGAGCAAATATTGATGTCTTGACAATGTTGTCTGGTGTAGGTGCCAAATTCTACATGGGTAAAGGGATAAAAGGACAACCATTTGAAAACTCAAGACACTTGGACTCTGACTTAGCTTTCAACACATTCGCTCCCTGAAGCTGAGGACTAGAGTAGAAAGGTGGTGTTTTATGAAAAGTGACATATATAAAGGCATAGACACAATGACTAGGAGGATGGTAAAACTTGTAACTTTTTTGGTTAGGCAGGTAACCAATGAAGACACACTTAAGAGATCTAGGATCTAATTTTTCACGATGCTGCTGATGGATATGAACAAAGACAATACATCCAAAAACATGACACTCTAGACTATTCATAACAGGACTAGAAGGGAAGAAAAAAGACAACCTGAATAGGATTGACTCCATCAAGAACACGAATGAGTAACCTGTTTATCAAATATATAGCTGTCAGGACTGCTTCTCCCCAATAAAATTGAGGAATTGACATATGAAAAAGGAGCTCTGGCAACTTCTAGCATATGACAGTTTTTTCTTTCTGCAACCCCATTTTGCCTCATGAAAAACACTATTCTTTTTTTAAAAAATTAGAAAATGATTAGTTCACATATTCTCTTCCATTATTAGAACGTAGTCGTTTTATTGTTTTTCCAAATTGAGTTTGAATCATATGAAAATTTTTTTGAAAAGTTGTACAACTTCAGTTTTATCCTTCATCAAATATATCCATGTTTTTCGAGAGCAATCATCAATAAAAGAAATAAACCACTTTGCACCAAAAATATTAGACACAAACAGGTCCCCACACATCACAATGAACAAGGTGAAATGGTTGAACACTTTTGTTATTATTACTAAGAAAGGTTGCATAATGATGTTTTGCAAATTGACAAATATCACAATTAAAAGGCTCAATGGAATCTTTTAAAAATAAAGAGGGATACATGGACCTAAGAATACTAAATGGTGGATGACCTAGACGCTTGTGTTGAATCCAAATTTGAGATGTTGTAGAATCTGAATTCATTTGAAGGCAAGATTGTGGCACCATTTGTCTTTCATTTCTCCTTTATTCCCATGCTTTGTAGACAATATAACCCTCCCTGTTCCTTAGTAGTTCCAATTGTCCTTCTCATGGTAAGATCCTGAAAGACACAATGAGAAGGGAAAAATATTACTTCACACTTCAAATCTCGGGTAAGTTTTTGGATAGAAATCAGATTATTAGATAATTGAAGAACATGTAACACATTATGAAGAGGTAAATAAGGATTGAGGGAAATGGTACTACTCCCCGACAACTAGGATATTGGACCCATTAGCAACAGTAATGTGTTGATTAATAAATGAGCTAGAGTAGGTGAAGAAATGGGAAAAATGGGGTGTCATATATGGTTAGTAGCACCAAAGTCAACTATCCAGAGATCCTTATGCATAGTACCGGAAACATAATGAGAGACGATCCCAGAATTTTTATCATTCATTGCAAGAGAGCAAGTATTAGATGGCTTACTTAGAGATTCCATGAGGTTTTTCAAGCACTCCACCTCAACTTTTAATGCTGGTATCTCCTTTGCAGCAGGCTGAGTTGATTGATCTTTGTTTGTATCCTCCACATCATATACTGCTTGATTAGCCTGTTTTTGTGCATGGGCTTTAAATCCACCTAAGCCTGTCTTGGTGTGGCCACTCCTATTGCAACAAGAGCACCAACGGTCCTCCCTTTTGTTGGCTGTAAAATTTCCAGTTTAGGGAATCTTGCCAGATGTGAAGGCACAACTTTCAGCGGGTCTCTCATTTATCATAACCATCCTCCTATTCTCCTGACCTCGAACAATGAAGAGTGCCTCAAAAAGTGAGGGAAACTTTTCCTTCCCAAGAATCTGAGCCCACATAGGATCATATTTCCAGATAAAAACTTGAAAATTTAAGACCTTTGAGTAGACTGTGACACTGTAGCAGCATCGTTGCTGTTCTCCAATTCTAGATTTTGGTGTTGATCTAATTTCACCCACAAATCATTTAGCTGCTCATAGTAATCAGTTATCGAGAGAGAATCTTGTTTGGCACTAAGGATTCTACTTTCCAACCCATAACAAGTGGAGATGTCTTGCTTCATAGAGTATGTCTAACAAAGGTTGTCTCATATCTCCTGAGTTGTGGAAGTGAACACACAATTCCGGCTGATCTCCGGCACCATAGTACCTCACAACCATGTCATGATGAGAGAGTCCTAATCATCCCATGCCTCAAATTGTGGATCCTTTGCAATAGGAACATCCCCTTCAATATGGTCTAACCTTTTTTGACCCTTTAACGTCCTCCAAATAAATTGTGCCCACACAAGATAGTTCTGACCATTGAGTCAGTTAGCAAAAGGTAATGCTTGAAGATCATTAGAGATCAATGGCACCAAATTAGCAGGTTTGGGTGACCTCTGGAGCTTTTGTTGCAGCCATCACGACAGAGCAACTGCAAAAAAAAAAAAAAAACACTAAATTTGTAGGGTGCAGCCTCAACAATGGCAGCTGCAGCCAAAAACCAGCAAGACAGGAAGAGTAAGATTTGGTGTGTCTTTGGCTAAAAAAGGCATGGCAAAGCTGTGATGACCACAATGAAGGCGGCTAAATAATTTAGGACACAGAAGCAGAGCCCCCAAGATCAGGAGCTTTGATACCAAGTTGAAAAATTGGTACTGAACAAAATATTGAATGAATATTTCTCATTAATTTTATAGTGTACAATGGTGCCCATTTATACAGTTATGGTAATTAATTCTATGCTAAAATCATGGGTGTCAATCATACCCAATTATGCTAATTACATAAATAAGGAAAGAAAGAAAAATAGGGAAGGAAATCAGAATATTTTACGACATTAATTATTTGGCCCAATCCTCATGGGAACAACAACTATCTATACTCATTAAAATAATTGATGCACTTGTCATAGTTTTTTACATTTGTTGTTTTGTAACTGAGTGTTGGAACGCTTAACCTTCTTTGTTCAGCTCTTAGATTTTGTAATATTTTTGCTCATTTTAAGCTATTTTCCATATGAAATGGTACTATATAATAGAAAAAGAATATATTAGTCTAATTTCTAATAAATTTGCTTAAAAATTATAATTATTTAATAACCTGACTAAAATAACACAATGTCTTAAATGAAATTCTATAATTTAAATGAAATTTAGTAAGGTTAAACATTTAGCTTAGTTGTGACTTCGTCAACTTCCAAAAGATTGCTCCATAGATCCTATATTTATCTATATGAAGAAGAAATCATGTAACGAGGGGGGTTTTTATTTGTACAAATGGTGCTTCGAACTTGGAAGGAGCATGAAGAAATTAACGATATTTCTTTATCTTTTGAGTTGTTCTGCTGGATCGCTCAAGACCTTTGGTCTCTACCCGGATTTGATGAAAAAAATGGGATCACTTCTTATGGAAGTATTTTGGTCATATTCCTAGTCATGTGGGACATCTTGACATGGCTGATACCCAATATGAAGCTTATTGGCCCCAGATTTCAAGTCTCCTAAAGGTATTTGCTGGTTCTTCCTATCCTTTTCTCAAGCCCTATAACAGCCATAAACTGGACTTTAGGTCTGCTTGGTGCATGATATGTACTTGGTCTTATTAGAAATAAATAAGGATAAACCACAATTACAAAGCTAGAATGATGCAGATTTTTGAGGGTCTGTGCTTTCCATATGCACAAAGGCTCCAATTTCGTTTAATGACACAATATACTTATTTAAAGGCACCATGCCTAATTATCAAATCCAGGCTAACTAACTCGGATATTGCAACTAACTAATTGGGGGTTACCTAACAATATGCCCTTCCCTTAAATAATTACCTTGTCCTCAAGATGTGTATGGCAGCTGCAAAACAAAGTTGTACTGGGGTTCCATTTGTTTGAAGCATTATGATTAAGCCAACCCCACTACCGCAGCCCAAAATAACTCGAGGCTTCCTGGTCAAACACAAACAAGTGGCTGCAATCAATCTCTTCGAATGCTTTGTTTTCTTCCATACTCTTAGCCCAAAAACAGAGCATCATTGCCTCTACAAGTCACAAGTGTACTGAGAATCCAAGGTTTTCTAGGCAAATCATGGTTGGTTATCATCCTTCATTACTCAAATGATGCTGCATGTGTTTCTTCATCTCACAACTTAAAAGATGGTCTCCTTCCACAAAACAAGCTTGTTTTCATTGGTTATTACATTGTTTCTGATGACCTGGATTATTTATAAATATGAGCTTTTGGTTTGCGTCTTGCCATCTCATTATGACTAAAATACACGGTTTCAGTGAAATACTATGTTTTGAAATTTTATATATGTAGATGAGAAGACACTCTAACAAGATTTAGGTTTTTTTTACGTAGATGCCCACAACAATTGAGGAATTGGAAGCAGCCATCCAAGATACCACTTCTCAAGCAAATTCAATTCTTTTTGTCAATCATAACATATTGGAACAATATGAAGATCGTCAACGACAGGTGCTCTTGCTATTGTTATTTGTTTATGTTAATTCCCTGTGCCATCCATATTGACAATTATTGTACAGATTGAAGATCTTGCAGCAAAACTTAAAGCAGACAAGCGGGAATCTGCACAATGTCTTACTGAATTAAATAACATTAAGGTCAGTTAAGTGTCAACTTTCTTTACATGACTAGAACGTTATAATTGTCATGAACCAAATATCCTGAGGGCATAAGTTGTTAAATGAAGAGAGCGATAAAGTCATATCTCATTGAGGTCAGTTACATGGATTTCTTGACTTCATGGGATTTGGTTAAAAACTAAATTTTTGGTCTTCCTCTACTCTTTTCATATGACTAAAAAGTCCATGCTATCAACCCTCTCATTAGTGCCTCTAGTTTTTTTTTTTTTTGCACATGTCCAAACTACCTTCACAGATTTTTTGTCATTCTCTCCTCATTAGAGGCTACTCCAATATGAGGTTGTAATATGATCTTTATACAAACTAATTCAAATTCCTAATAAGCTTTTACACATCTCTAACATAGAGAAGCATATATGAAGTGCAATTATTGACTCCCAAATTATAATCTTATAGAGGTTAGTGGCTGCAATTGAGCATGTGTCCCCTGAAAAGTAGGGCAAACAATTTCCAATTACTATGGTTTACTGGCTCCTTTTTACAACTTGTGGATTGCAGATCCAATTGTGAAAGTTGTGTCAGAGAAGTTTCTGAAGTTCATTCTCATAGACTGACAGATTCATTAGAAATGTTAAGGTAGCTAGAAGAGAAAGAGAGGGAAAACAGCTCTAAAGGGGATCTGTTATTTGTCTAAATGGGAAGTGTATGTCACAGGGAGGGGTGTGGGATTTCTGTCATGTTTCCAGCTTTCAGCATGAAACCAAAGGAGTTCTCTGCTGGGACAATGATGTGATTCTTGATGGAAAAGCTTGGTTGTTATGCACAAATATCTTTTTCCAAAATATATTTGTGATTGGAAAGTGAGATAGACAAAGAAGAATAAATGGCTATTTATTTCTCGTGTTCTTGCCAAAAATATGTATACTGGCATGTGTAATTTATGTTTATCACCATTTTTGTCAGTATGAGAGAAAGGGAGCAACAGGCTAAAATGGATTGCTGAACCTTTACAGCTGATGAACTGAATGCAGGAAATGATTTAATCCTTAGTATCAAATAAGATCACCAGTGCGTTATAGTGAAATCATCGAACTAACAAGGATCGGAAGACAATATTGAAGTTAAGAGTTAGCATGGAGCCAGAATGTGATATAATATTAATTATTGTGGCTAATAATGACTGAATTTGATTTACATCTTAACAATGACATTAGCCAATTTCTATTAATAGATGATGTGATTGTGAACTGTAGTGAGTTTGAGTAATGATGCTTGTTGTATTAATGGTTTTATCCTTTTTTTTTTTTGTGGAAGAGAGGGAGTGTCAGAGCATTTATTCATGGCATGCGTTTCACTCTTTCTAGTTGCCTTGAAAATATTGTCAAAATAAAAGTTGAAGTTTGTAAGTTTTTCCTGCAGGGAAAATGGCTTCCAACATTGAGAAACCTTGTGGCACAAATAAATGAAACTTTCAGTTGTAATTTTCAAGAGATGGCTGTTGCTGGAGAAGTTTCACTAGGTTTGTCTGATGGTAATTTACGTAACATGATGGGTTTTTCTTACTCTTATATCCTCATCTCTGTTTCTCTTCTTCTCAGATGAGCATGATATGGACTTCGATCAATTTGGAATACTTATAAAAGTTAAATTCAGGTGACTGATGTTCTGAACTAGCTATTTTGTTTAGGACATATCCTTTCACAAGATCATTATTCAACCTTATGGTTAATTGATGACTTCTGGTTACCAGTCAACTTAAATATAAAGGAAGCCTGACTTTAAGATCTACAACTCAGTTATTGATAATAGTAATTAGACTTTTGATAAATTTAATTTAACCTGTCAGAAAATGATACAAATTCATTGTCTTTTCTTATTATTCAGTTTAAATTTGCTCCATGTCATAAGATTCAAATTTTCAGTTTACTAATTGTTCTTTCACTTGAGAGTCCAGAGGAAAAGATTGTCAAATGTGTATATTTCTGATTGATGAAAATGAAACTGTACATAGGATACATGGATATATAGATACAAGGAAAAACCAAAAGTAAGGAAAAAATGGAGCTAAATCTAAAGATGTGATACTATTTACATAATGTACAGAAAATCTCCTAAAGATAGGCTATCTACATTAATACAAATAAAGTCTGATATAAAATATAAATGAGAACAAAGTCAACTAAGTCAAGTCTGTTTCATCTTGATATAACACTATCTATGGAATATCTCAACACTTTCATGCCTACTTTGTTTAAAATTAATGGAGTGTCATCATCATTAACTGTATTTATATTTCAATCAAATAGCCATGTTACTACATGTTGGGTTAGCATATTATTGCAAAAGGGTAAAATACCCAAGCCACAACTTCCCAACATGTGGTTATTATTTTTTATTCCTTCTTACAGTTTATCTTTTATATGTTATCATTCAGAGAAAATGGACAGCTTCAAGTCCTGAGTGCCCATCATCAATCTGGAGGGGTATTACAAAGAATTTATTTCTTATTGCATTCATGCTACGTTTTCCTCCCTTAATGAACCTTGGGGTTTGGTTTTCTAGGAGCGATCAGTTTCAACTATCGTCTATCTTGTTTCCCTTCAAGATCTTACAAACTGCCCATTTAGGGTTGTCGATGAGATCAACCAAGGTTGGCTACCATTTGAAGTAAATTCTTAAGAGATTGACACAAGCCCTAAAATTACCTTTGAATGTACTTTTATCAGGGATGGACCCAATAAATGAAAGGAAGATGTTCCAGCAACTAGTGAGAGCAGCAAGCAAGCCAAATACACCACAGTGAGTACTAAGTACCAACACTGTCTTTTCAGTTTCTCGCTCAGAATGAGGTTATAACTAGATAAATACATGGTACATACCCAATTCAGTGAGTCAGATTGTTTTGTTTGTCAATACTCTTGAATAAATGGAGAAATACCATGGCTATTAATCAATGTTGCCGAAATCAGGATCCTACATAGGATTGGGAGGGGAGGTCCCAGATCGTAAATCATGTGATTGTAACAAAGATTGTAAGATCCTACTAAACATTCAAAACTATACTTAAACATTTACATAAACATAGAAAATAATATAGATAAAGAAAATAACTAAACATAAAATTCATGGTCGTTAATCCAATACAACACATAATTAGTCAAATAAGAAATAATAAATGAGCACAGTCACAATATTTCATAAAGCAGAGCCACAACACCCTAGAAGCAAGAACCACCACAGAAGTTCAGAACCGGTGGCGAAGAGAAGAGGAACCAAAAACCCAGGCAGCAGCACCTAGGTCGCAGAAAATAGAAGATTGACAGAGAAAGGACGAAATGCAGAGCAGAGGTTGCAGAAAATGAACATAGAGATAGCACAAATAGAGGTTGTAGAAATCAAACCCAAACCCATAAAAATGTTGTTTCAAGATAGAGAAAACTGTGACCTAGCTGGAAGAGGCATTGTCACAGTGAGAATAAGAGTTTGGAAGTCCAAAATCGGGTCAAAAAGTGCCCTGGAAACAGGTTTTCAAAAACTGGGTTGTGAAAATCCATCCCGGAAACCTGTGTAGTGAAGATAGGATTGGATCATCAATCCTGTGGTCAAAACGAGAAAGACTGGGATCCTACACAATCTTGCCAACTTTCGATCCTGTTTCCATTTAAGATTGCAGGGTGGGGGAAGATCATGGGATTGCATGATCTTAATTGGATTAAGATCTCGATTTTGACAACATTGCTATTAATAATATATGACTGGGTCACATCAGCTGAGGAAGGAACACTCAGCTACCTGTATGATCAGCATCTTAGATCTGTTGCAGATAGTATGTTTTGTGCATAGTATCTAATGCAATATTGCGAATGATATATGAGGCAAACAAGCCCATAGGTTATGATTGTGATGGTTAGCTTACATTACATACTACAGATAATTAATTTTGATCCTTGCAGGTGATTCTGTCAGTAATCTGTTTTGTTTCCCACCTTTTATTTCTGCCTCATTTGTAAGCTATTATTTATCTTATGCAGGTGTTTCTTGCTTACCCCAAAATTGTTACCAGATCTGCAATATAGTGAGGCATGCAGTATATTGAATGTGATGAATGGACCTTGGATTGAGCAATCCTCAAAGGGTAATTTCTCATACCAAAAGCTCTGGTAGTCCTCTTTAATTACTGAGATTTTGCTCACAGGACTTTATGTGTACCAGTCTGGGCTACAGGTGATCGATGGAGTATTATCACGGGACTTGGGGAGACGCAATGTTGAAAACACAAAGGAGTTACGCCACAAGGAACCAAATAAACGACAATTTCCCAGTGAACTTGTGCATGGAAATTTAGCCTTGGCATAGTGAATTGGACCTTTAATCTTGTAAATCGGACTATGATATTCATTAGTGTGTTTATGTATACTTTAGGCTAGATTGACAACCTCTTTGTTCTTCTCACTATCATTTATGGACTATTGCGATAAGGTATCCCTTTTCTTTACGCTACCTTATGTTACTTAGACTTGGATGGAGGCCTAAGGGAGTTATAATGGTTAGGATGGTCCTACTTGTTGTAGGACTCTTTTCTTTTTCTTTTTGATGTACATTCCTACAAAAAAAAAAAAAGGCTATAAATTATGTTTGTATCATAAGTCTACAGAACAAAATAATGTAATATATATGGAATACAATGTATTTTGAGATATCTTTAGTAAGAATGCATGGTATTAATTACGTATATAATGAGTTGTAAGGAGGCATTTCAATTATAACATGAAAAAGTTTGACAAATCGTTGCAAGATTTGCTAAGGATGTTGAGAACTGTTAAGTGAAACATTAATAAAGAAAAGAGTAAGACTATTTTGATGGTTTGATTGGGAAAGGGAAAAGGAAAGACTAAGAAACAAAATGAGCCAAAAAGAGATTTAAAGGGAAGAGTAAAGATAAGTCCAACTCTTCTCGTTTGAAACTTGTAGGTAGTTGATGAATCGATATTTTAAATGGATTTATGTAGTTAATTGTATGAAAAAGAGATGTAATTAAGATAGAAAGTGCAAAAGGGAATTGAATTAGCCCATTTATACTTAATAGTTAGTTTGAAGAGGAAAATGAAAAATAATGTTATTTCATTGTGGAATTTGGAATTTGGATCTTATGCATTTTTAGAGGGAACTCCAGTGTACAGTTTAGATTTTTTTAAATAAATTTATAAAAAAGTAATTTTGGTTTAAGCAAAAAAATTGCTTAATTGAATTTAGTAAAGAAGTATTTTTTTACTTAAGTTAAAATTGCAAAAAAAATTTAAAACTTCATCTTTTTCTTCTTTAAATTACAGAAAAGTTAAAAAATATTTGTGTAAGATCATGTGGTGATACTTTATGGTTATGTAACAAAAATTAAGTGTTTCAAAACATGTAATATCATAACTATTTTTCAACCAATTTTTTAAAGTTATCATTCTGATAATCTGTTTCATCATTCTTAATAATTTAACTTGATTTCAAATGGTTTTACTTCACTAATGTTTAGTACACTAGACAATACATTTGGAATATTCGGTGAGATAAAATATGTAAGAGTCTTTGATGATTAGGTAGTTATTGGTGAGAAATAAAGATTCTTCAAATTTTTTGCAATTTAGAAAAGAAGATGAAATTTTAAATTTTTTCGTAATTTTGGCTTAAGCGAATTTTTTGACTTAAAGCAAAAATCACTTTTTTACTAAATTTATTTAAGTGATTTTTTTTTTCTTTAAGTCAAAATCATTTTTTGCTAAATTTGCTTAAGCGAATTTTGTTTCTCTAAACTGCATACTGCAATTCTCTTCAAAACTAATGAGGATTTCAATCCTAAAATTTGTGAGTTCTTTGTGTGGTTCTAAGTGCATAATTAATAAGTTTCGAAAAAAGATAATGGTACATGATAATGTTGCAAACTAAAAGAGCATGTTACTAATATAGAGCATCAAAACATTCAAATTTATATATATTCTGACTTTTTGAACCTTAAAAACCTGAATGAACAGTGATAGTCAAGTCATTCATACTACAATAAAAATGAATTTTTTTCTAAAATATTACAAAAAAAAAAACACACATTTGGACCCTTTGCAAATATATTTAAACATATAAACCCATTTACTATTGCATTCAGAATTTGGTCCCGGGGAGTCAAATTCTGACAGCCCCTCCCCCCTCTTTTTCTCTTATATTTAATTTTAAAAATTTAAAATAAGAATTAAATAATAATTATTATTATTATTATATTTTTAAAACTAATTAAAATAATTAAATAATAAGTAGATTATTTTAGAAAATTTTTATAAACTAATTAAAATATTTAAATAATAAGTAAATTATTTTAGATAATAATATTAATGCTTAAATTATTTCAAATTTTTTTTCAAAATATTACAAAAAAAATACGAATATATACCCATTGCACATTTAATTACCAATGTAGACTCTTTTACTGTTCAAGTCAGATATCTGACTTACAACAACCCCCTTCCTTTTATTTTTATATTAATATTTAATTTTAAATTTTAAAATAAAAATTAAATAACAATAATAATTATTTTTTAAAAAACTAATTAAAATATTTAAAATATAAGTAATTTATTTTAGATAATAATGTTAATGTTTAAATTATTTATACTTAAATAATAATAATCATATTTTAAAAATTAAATAAATATCTTAAATATTATTCTGTTTATTTATTTATTTAAATATGTAATTTTGAGTTAATATTTTTAAAGATTAGTATGATAAAATGTTATTTTGAATAAAAAAATTTATTTTAATTAAATGTTTTTTAAAAATTATATTATTTAATATTATAATTTTTAATACGCTAAACTATGACATTTATTAATACAACATCCTCTGAAGTCAGGTTTTCTTTTTTCTTTATAACTCATTACAACAAAAGAAATCATTGACGAGAACTAGATGCATGACCAATGTTTGGACATGTCTTCCTTCTGTGAACAGGGATGTGACAATAGGAATATTTTTTTGCACGATTTTGTTGTTCTGTAATGTCTATCTCTGTTCTTATCTTGCTGGACTTGGGTCAACTTTTTGAAGCTCTTTTTAGTTCTGGATTTAGACACAAAGTTGAGCCTGTGTAAGTTGGCCAATAGTCTTCGTGTCTGAGTTCTCCAAACTGACCTTTGTATACCTATTGTAAGGTATACACGAGAGATATGTAAATGTCAAAGTTGTGGTGTGCGTGTAAGTATGAAGCAAGTACATGCGAGCATGAGATGTGAACTTTTTGGAACTTGCCACAATCACACCATATTTCATCTAACCATACTGTAAATCTCCCTACAGGTCAAACTTGTCTCGGATGTTACATTTTTTTGACAAAAAAATATAGTGCTTGTTCTGTCAAAGGTGATGACTATATAAGTGTTCGCCTTGACTGTGCATCTTGAATTGCTTTAGTGGCAACCTCCAAGTACACATGTCCAACATTAATCATTGCATCTACTTTCCTGCCTCTCTCAATGAAGAGCTTGTTGCAACAGGGGTATGTTGCCATGACCATGGAGCAAATTGGCAGGTTTCTGGTTTTCTTCAAGACCGAATTGATTGACTCCGCTAGGTTTGTTGTCATATGTCCCTAGCGTCGTCCGTTGTCCCATGAATGTTGAAGTTGATTTGAATCGTGGATGTTGAAGAGAATCTCGATGTCTTCATCATTGTTCAACTCAACACATGTGTAGTTGCTAACCCCCGGGTCAAGTCTAATTGGGTAGTGAAAATATATGGTTGTCACCCTTTCATTTTTGTCTCAGTAGAGTTTTGTGTGGATGACTTTCTTCAGCCTTTGTAGAGTTATTCCTCTCTTTATATGTACCAATTTGGCTGATAGTGAGGTGAATGTGACTCCTTCATTAGGATATTGATTAATGGCACCATCAAAGTAAACAATAACATAGATTGAAGACATTTTTAGATTGAAGCAAGTGAATGATGAATAAACTTAGAAGGAGAAAGTTCACAAGAATAAGGAATAAGCTTAGAAGGTTAAATGAAGAAAATGGACACGAATATAACTATTTATAATAGTAGCATTGGATTCCTTCTTATTCAAATCTTTATCACGTTTTACGAGTGATGGTGACCTCTCCATGACACCATTTGAACAAGCTTTCTCTCCTCTCAAGTAATGACTCACTCTTTTGCCATTCATGTTTTACGAGTGATGGTGACCTCTCCATGACATCATTTGAACAAGATTTTTCTTCTCCCAAGTAATGACTCACTCTTCTGCCATTCACGCCTTCCGAGTGATGGTGACCTCTTTGTGACACCATTTGAACTTTCTCTACTCCCAAGTAATGACTCACTCTTATGTCATTCACGTCTTACGAGTGATGATGACCTCTCTATGATACCATTTGACATTCACATACACCAAGACATAGTGAATTTTTAGGAATCCAATGCTACTCTCTCGTACCAAAATTTATTTATAAATATGTTCATCTAAGGCTATATGTTTTTATTCAAACTTGCATCTATCTTTGTTCTGCGTTTCTCTCTATCTTTCAAAAGTTCTTCAATCCCATTACTAAAAATGTTGTTGTGGAAGCAAAATGAACACAGGTTCATTGGAAGAATAGTAAGTTTTACACATTACCATTATTTATTAAATATGATTTTTAATATCTACATATCATGTTACTAATTTGTTAATAACTGCAGGAAACTGAGAATATGATTTCATCTTTCTGTCATTCAATGCTAGAACCCAATCCTCTAATTGTTCCTATACTTGAACAACTTGGTTTTGTTGGGGTAGCAAAGCTAAGACATCTTAAGGTGGATCATGCATTGATAACAGCTTTGGTCAAGAGGTGGAGAGTTGAAACTCACACATTCTATTTTTCAATAGGGGAGTGCACCATAACCTTGAAAGATGTTGTACTTCAACTAGGGCTAAGAGTTGATGGATTACCAGTCATTGCTTCAACAATATTTGACTAGGAGCAAATGTGTAACACATATCTCGGTATTGTGCCAATCAAGGGAGAGACACTTATTGGCTTTATGCTGAAACTAAAGTGGCTAAGAGACAATATGTTGTCATTACTAGAAGAACCATCTGAAGAAGAAGTTCACACCCATTGTAAGACTATACTAGGTTTAATTGAAGATGTTTTGATGCCTGACAAAACAGGCAACAAAGTACATCTTATGTATTTAGCTTTATTAACTAATCCTAGAAGAACAAGACGATATAGTTGGGGTTCTACTTGTTTAGCTATGTTGTACAGGAAAATGTGTAGAACCACGATTGTTGGGAGCAAAATAATGGTGGTTGCTCATCACTGTTAATGTCCTAGGCATGGTATCACATGCTATATATTGCGCCAATTTTTAGTAATCCACCAACATACCCTCTCATGTGCAAATGGAGTTGGGGTAGAGTACTAAACTTTCAAAATAAACCTCACAATGATGTTGTGGGATACAGATCAATGTTTGATCACATTCAAGCTAATCAGGTAACTCTTCAAAAAAAAAAATCGTCTTGAATTCATACTTATTTTCTTATCTTTTACATATCATCTTAAGTAACAAAGTTAAATTTATGTGTATTTTTTATGAGCGCCATATCAAGACATGCAAACATCAATGCCCATGGAAGCATAAAGAGAGGTCTAACTGTGGACTTCATGTACCGCCATCCTTTGTTTTGCAATTGTTGAATGACACC